TTGCTCACTTCGGAGAGCGTGGTGCTGACAACACCAAGTCAAGGGTTGAGATCCCCTTACCGGTCATTTTTTTAAAAAAAAAAAGTTACACAGGTGGCAACAGGATTCAATCACAGAGAGCTTTGATTCAGTGTGTTTTCATAGAGGTACAACTACATAACATCAAGGCGTGATTTTTACACTAATATTATGAAAACATATGCACATTTATTCAAAAATAATAAACAGAAGAAAGTTGAGTTTTTCTTTGATTTTTTATCAAGGTTTGAATTTCTTTGGATAGGTTAATTTACATAATCATAAACCTAATTTTTTCAGTAATGTACATGTGCAGGATATAATGTTAAATCCTAGATTCAAATGAAAACTTCAACTCTCTAAAATTCTCAAAATTCTGCTGTTTTGTATAACTGAATTTCTAGATAGCTTTAAAACACTCACATTTTTAAATTATAATTACTTTGCACAGGATTTACTTTAAATTCCATCATCTCTCTTCATTACTAAGTAGAGGATATGTATTTATCACATAATGTATACTATTATTGCTAATTCAAAGACATAATTTTTAACATCGATATTTCTATTAGTCAGTTTCCTCTTGCTTATAACAGAATACCTGAAACTGTGTAATGTATGAAGAAAATAGGGTTATTTCTTACAGTTTTGGAAACTGGAATTTCCAAGGAACAGGGGACACATCTGGTGAGGGCCTTCTCCTTAGTAGGGACTCTTACAGAGTCCCCTGGTGACGGAGGGTATCACATGACGAGAGGCTAAGTGAGAGAGTGTTCATGTGCTCTCCTTATAAAGCCATCAATCCATATTCGTAACAACCCATTTATCCTCTAATCCATCAATCCACGAATGGATTCATGGTGGCAGAACCTTCATGACCCAATCACTTCCCAAAGGCCCCACATTTCAATGTAAACACCCTGGGGATCACACTTCCACATGAACTTTGGAGGAGACAAACATTCAGACCATAGTAATGTTTTTACTTTCAATTAACATAGTAATTCCTCTGAGGCATTTGAAGTATGCAGGATTTTTTAAGAAATAGTCCCAGACACATATTTTTCCTATTGGGACTGAAATATCTCTATTTTATTTTTATAGTTTGGCTTGCTTCTACTGGGAGATTGTCAATGAGTAACTAGACTTCTCAATATTTAGAAAATCTTCTGTGGAAGGAAAGAAAGGGAAGGGTGAAATTTAAACGACAGAGCAGAAGACCTAAGGGGCCCTAAATTAGATTTGCTCTATTCTTTCTGATATACTAGTGTCAGCCTAAGACAAGTATAACTTCTGACCCTAAAATATCTCTCCAAACTTCTTTTTCCATATAACTTAGAATTATTTTAACAAGAGGCAATGCCTTCTGCTCCTCAGTCATAAATAAAAGAATAGACTGTGAAAATATCAGAGAGTTAGAACACATGGACGAATGAATTTCTGTCACTGTATAAATGGCTTCGCATTTTTTTCCTGGTTTTTATAAAGTAGGAATATAGGAAGGTTCTAGATCCTAAAGAGATCAGTGAGGGAGAAAGGGGGCTTAAACAATGGGTAGCAGAGATTCTGAAACTAGGTATTTTTTTCCCAGGACAGTCCCTGTG